GTCAATCCATCGGCCTTCCTGCGGTTATTTAGGAACGGAGCAAAATGTCAACCAAATTGTCCTGTAGGTGTCAATCGGATGCCATCAGTTATTCCATTTAAACGTGATCACGGCTGTAACCTACACTTTCCTCGAGCGATGTTCTATGCGAATCGACCATAAATGGAATAAAATACACCATACAAGAAAACAGGGACTCTTTAACAACATGATCCTATATAATATACCCTTGTCATGGCCGAGACAAGGTCGGAGTACGGAATAACTGAAATAATTTCATAGTCTCCTTGCCTTCCTTAATTTCACATTCATTTCGTGTATTTACCATATACAATTTACCCTCAAATATTATCTACACATCAAGTTTTAATCGTATATAGTTACAGTTTCGAGAATTCTAATATGAAACACAAACACAAACTAATTCCTTGCTTAAAAATCTGTATACCCTTCCGGCCTATGGAACAGATGAAAACCGTTACAAGTACCAAGAAATCCTTAAGAAATGAGGTACAGAAGTAATAATGCTTTTAATCCTTAGTCTTCTTAAACCCTGACGCCATCACAGTTGTAATACATGGTGAGTCTTCAGAATAGAATTGTCTCTCGTGAAGCTTCATTTTCTATTACACTCTCGAGTACGGTTAACCGCAAGGACGAATGGGCATGACTCAGCACATTCGCAAAACAACCGTTATACGGTAGTTTAGGATTAAACGCGATACGGTCCGTTGTGCTAATGAATTTCGACAATTTCTTTTAATGATTTGAGATTTTTCTTCTCTTTTCTTTTCCTGATATAGTCTAAAAAAAAAAAAAAATAGGAAACTACATTTCTCCCATCTCTTTAATATTCTATCTGTCTGTCTATATATCTAACTATCTAGCCATTCTTATATCAATATGGCTGTGTATCTATCAGTGCAACTTATATTACTCTCGATATTTCAAATGATGTTAAGGTAATTGAATGTGAATTTTATATACAGCCATGTATGCATACCCTTAACTATTATATAATATGTTATCCACTGAATAATTTTGTAAGAGGACAATATAAAAGTACAATTCTTTTCCAAGAAAAATGCCCTAGGTTTTCTTTTCATGCGTTCTATTTTCAGAATCAGGATCAAATCTCTCTCTAGCAATCTGTCTATTTAGTTATCTCTATCTATCTGTTTAGCTATGTCTATCTAGCTCTGCTTTTAAGAATCAAAATCAAATCTCTTTCTCTCTCTCTCTCTCTCTCTCTCTCTCTCTCTCTCTCTCTCTCTCTCTCTCTCTCTCTCTCTCTCTCTCTCTCTCTCTCTCTCTCTCTCTCTGTTCCTCCCTGTCTCTCTCTTTCTTCGTCTCTCCCTTCCTCTCTCTCTCTCTCTCTCTCTCTCTCTCTCTCTCTCTCTCTCTCTCTCTCTCTCTCTCTCTCTCTCTCTCTCTCTCTCTCTCCCTCTCCCCCCTCTCTCTCTCTCTTTCTCCCTCTCTCTCTCTCTTCCCACCCCCCTCTCTCTCTCTCACTCTCTCTCTCTGTCTGTCTCCCTCCCTCTCTCCTCTCCTTTCATTTGTCTTAATCTCACTGCAGCAGGTTATCGCCGTGTTCTCCAAGAGATGAACTGATTTATCCGATGGTTATTCCGCTAAAAGATTCTTGAGATTACAAAAATGACTAAGGATCTGCTGCAAATCACCAGCATTTTTATCCCGAGATCGTCTATGATTAGCAAGACCGATTTAACACATTTTGCAACAGATTGCTGGCGATTTCGAAAGAGGTATGTTCCCTTCTCTGGGCAAGTAAAAGAAAACGCAATGTTTGAGATGTATAATGAATGCTAATATTGCATAGACGTTTGTGTGTGTGAGTGTAAGAGAGAGAGAGATTGTGTGTGTGTGTGTGTGTGTGTGTGAGAGAGAGAGAGAGAGAGAGAGAGATTGTGTGTGTGTATGTGTTTGAGTGAGAGAGAGAGAGATTGTGTGTGTAATTGAGAGAGAGAGATTGACTTTGTGTGCGTGTATGAGAGCCAGAGAGGCAAAGAGACTGTGCGTGCGTGTGTGTGTGTGTGTCTGTGTCTGCGTGTGTAAACCGCTGCATTCATAAAGATAAACCATTGTTGCATGACATATTGCACATACAAATGTCAATTACTTTGTGCAAATGACACTGAGATGTGAAGAGATAAAGTATCATATAAATGTCTTAATTCTCTTCATGGAGGCTGAGAAAAAGTTGCAACGCTTATATAAAATGACACTTTATCTGCAACACAAAAGGCAGAGCTAGACTGCTTGTGCCATCAGAGACCCTAATTCGTGTGAAGTGCTTGTCATAAACGGCTTCTGACTGCATACTAAAAGCGTGTATTAAGGTTTTAAAATGTCTTTGCATGCCAGAAAGTTATCATTGTCCCGACACGATGCAGAACCAAAGATTTTTTTTTTTTTTTTTTTTCTTCTTTTTTTTTTTTTGGGGGGGGGGGGGGTTCAATTTGTTTCTTGAAAAATATAT